TGTCCGGTCGTGATGGTCAAGCGGATTAAGGCGTCCCTGTACATACCAGTTGTGGGAGTATGGGTTCGAGTCACTTCTGGGGTGTGAGTTTTCAGTTGTATATAGTCCTGGGGACCATTCAGGCTTGTTTGCATTTGTGTTCCTCACGTGTGCCCCAAAGAATGAGGTGATTTGATAAAATGCTATGCCCAAGATTACCATCCGAGTGCCGGCGGGGAAGTGGTTCATATAGCCTCGGCTATCACTTCCTTATGTCCGGTCGTGATGGTCAAGCGGATTAAGGCGTCCCTGTACATACCAGTTGTGGGAGTATGGGTTCGAGTCACTTCTGGGGTGTGAGTTTTCAGTTGTATATAGTCCTGGGGACCATTCAGGCTTGTTTGCATATATATATATATATATATATATATATATATATAATATATATATATATATATATATATATATATATATATATATATATATATATATATATATATATATATATATATGACAATGTCAGACCACGGAGGAAAAATGAAACAGGAATTTCCTTAAGTACTTTCGTATATTAATACATCTTCAGAAGGAGTGAAGGAATACATCTTCACTCCTTCTGAAGATGTATAAATATACGAAAGTACTTAAGGAAATTCCTGTTTCATTTTTCCTCCGTGGTCTGACATTGTCACATTTTTAATCACGTGTTTATTTTCGTGATATACATATATATATATATATATATATATATATATATATATATATATATATATATATATATATATATATATATATATATATATATATATATATGTATAAAACGCTGAACTGTTATGCTAATCCTGACCTTAAAAGCTTCATTGAAGGTTGTAACAGAAACCTATGAGCACCACACCAGACACAAATACCTTTTTGATATTTTAAGAGTACGACTTAATCAAACTAGAAATGCTCTACAAATCAAGGGACCCAAAATAAATAAATAAATAAATAAATAAACATTTATTTATTTAAGGTACATACATACAAGAATTTTTTACAAAGATTGGTGGACTTATAGATAGAGCTAGTACATACAATGCCTAAAGCCACTATTACGCAAAGCGTTTCGGGCATGAAAAACTTAAATGACTAAAGCTTAATACTAATTGAGCATAAAGAGTAAAATGAAAACATAGCTGAAAAAGCAGCACAAATACAATTCTGTTGACAAACAGCACTCTTTAAAAAAAACAGACATTGGTTGACAATAGAAGGGTAAGGTAGGTTACAGGGAATTTATTAGGTATAGCTTCGTTTTTAACTTAAACTGGTTGAGAGAGGTACAGTCTTTAACATGGTTGGGAAGGTCATTCCACAATCTGGGTCCCTTGATTTGTAGAGCATTTCTGGTTTGATTAATTCGTACTCTAGGAATATCAAAACTGTATTTATTTCTGGTGTGGTGCTCATGGGTTCTGTTACAACCTTCTATGAAGCTTTTGAGGTCAGGATTGGCATTACAGTTTAGCGTTTTATATATGTATAATACACATGAGAGAATGTGCAGTGACTTAATGTCTAACATATTCAGAGATTTGAGTAGGGGAACCGAGTGATGTCTGGGGAAAGTGTTGGATATTGTCCTAATAGCAGCTTTGTGTTGAGTAATTAGAGGACGTAAATGATTTTGGGTAGTAGAGCCCCAAGCACAAATACCATAGTTGAGATATGGATAGATAAGGGAGTAATAGAGTCACCAGGGCAGGGCGGGGTATATAATATCTGATCTTAGAAAGAATGCCAACAGTTTTTGAAACTTTTTTTTATATATTTAGAATGTGTCCCTGGAAATTCAGCTTGTGGTCAATGAGAATGCCAAGGAATTTGCCATCTAATTTGTTACAAATTTGGATATTGTTTATTTTAAGATTTATTTGATTAGAGGATTTATTGCCAAACAGAATATAGAAAGTTTTGTCAATGTTAAGGGTGAGTTTGTTGGCAGTTAGCCACAGATGGACTTTATTTAGCTCAGTATTTACTGTGGCATTTAGAGCAAGGGGATCAGGACTGGAGTAAATGAAGGTTGTGTCGTCAGCAAATAGAATTGGTTTGAGGTGTTGGGAGGTATTTGGAAGGTCATTAATGTAGATGAGAAAGAGGAGAGGACCAAGTATGCTGTCCTGAGGAACACCAATGTTGATGGGTAGGGTGGGAGAAATTGAATTATTCACAAACATACTGGAGCCTGTCAGTAAGGTAGGATTTGATGTGGAATGTGGAATGACCTTCCCAATCATGTTAAAAACTGGTTGAGAGAGGTACAGTCTTTAAGATAAAAAACTAAACACTACCAAATTAACTCCCTGTAACCTACCTTACCCCTATAATGTCAACCCATGTCTGCTTTTTTTTAAACAATCCTGTTTGTCGACCAAATGTATTTTTTTGCTGTTTTTCTGCCATGTTCCCCCCTTTTTATATTATTATATTTTCTCAACGCATTTTATACTCTAATGTCAATTAGTATTAAGTTTTAGTCTTTAGTGTTTTTCCTGCCGAAACGCTTTGCGTAATAGTGGCTTTATTATAGGCATTGTATGTACTAGCTGTATCTATAAATTCATCAATATTTGTATCACCCCTTGCATGTATGTACTTTACCTGAATAAACATTTGAATTTATTTTTTTTTAATTTTGTTAGGACTTCATGTGCCAATGTTCCACAGCGACTCAGGGAACAGTAGTCTCGTATTTTGTGTTGTATTGCTTTTCTTTCATTCCGTGGCAGAGGGAGTCCTGTAGCGAGTAATCCTTATACTCGCTCCATTATCTCATTATCTTAATTGCGTAGCTAATTAGCACTAACTACACAAGCTATAATCCTATCCCTAATTACAGGTAACAGTTCTCACATCCTACTATCCTAGTAGAGAAAGGTGAGGGGTAGTCACCAAATATAAGGAAGCGATATGAGAATAGACAACAGTACAATTTCCAGTCAAGAATGTAGCACTCGGCATAGGCAGTTCTAATCGTCTCCAAGACCCTACAGCTTCGACACATAACAGGCAGCAGACTAGGACCGCATCGAGCTGCAATCTTAATGTCTTCTTAAGGGAACTGGGAGCTATCATGGAGGAAAGCCAGGCCCAGCCCAAGGGCCTAGAAACGAAGGAGTCCCGCATACGGGGGGGGAGGGGGGAGAGGGGTGCCCAGCCAAGGGGCATAGAAACTGAAGTGGCCCAACCCAGGGGCATAGAAACTGAAGTGGCCCAGCCAAGGGGCATAGAAACTGAAGTGGCCCAGCCAAGGGGCATGGAAACCGAAATGGCCCGACCCAGGGGCAAGAAACTGAAGTGACCCAGCCAAGGGCATAATAAACTGAAGTGGCCCCAACCTTGGCATAAAACTGAAGAGACCCCAACCTGGGCATAAAACTGAAGAGACCCCAGCCTGGGCATAAAACTGAAGAGACCCCAGCCTGGGCATAAAACTGAAGAGACCCCAGCCTGGGCATAAAACTGAAGAGACCCCAGCCTGGGCATAAAACTGAAGAGACCCCAGCCTGGGCATAAAACTGAAGAGACCCCAGCCTGGGCATAAAACTGAAGAGACCCCTGCCTGGGCATAAAACTGAAGAGACCCCTGCCTGGGCATAAAACTGAAGAGACCCCTGCCTGGGCATAAAACTGAAGAGACCCCAGCCTGGGCATAAAACTGAAGAGACCCCAGCCTGGGCATAAAACTGAAGAGACCCCTGCCTGGGCATAAAACTGAAGAGACCCCTGCCTGGGCATAAAACTGAAGAGACCCCTGCCTGGGCATAAAACTGAAGAGACCCCTGCCTGGGCATAAAACTGAAGAGACCCCTGCCTGGGCATAAAACTGAAGAGACCCCTGCCTGGGCATAAAACTGAAGAGACCCCTGCCTGGGCATAAAACTGAAGAGACCCCTGCCTGGGCATAAAACTGAAGAGACCCCAGCCTGGGCATAAAACTGAAGAGACCCCAGCCTGGGCATAAAACTGAAGAGGCCCCAACCTGGGACTTAAAAAAAAACACGCCACTCACATGACGCGGCCCACAAGCATGAGGAACCTAACAGGCACCACTGCCTGGCCCCTGTGGCCCGGGGCCTGATCCCAGGCTACCCGCCCGACTAGGGCGAGCCAGGCGCCAGGAAAGATCCAAAGGGGCTGCAGGGGCCCACAGAGGAAGAGCACCTCGAATCGCCAGGCCGCATGGGAGGGGGGGGCCCATCACCCGACGTTGCGGAACCTACCTACTGACGTAGGGGAGTCCTGCACGTGCACACCACGTGACCCACAGGCCAGGTCGCCGCCCGCGGGCGGCCCTCCGGGGCGTGAGGTGAACCAGGGCCCTTGGGGACAAACCCATAGAAGCGAGGGGGGCCACAGAGTGCCTGTTCACGTCGGACGAAACCCCCAGCGTGGTGCGGCACCGACCCGCGGGCGGAAGGGACCCCAGCACACGCACACCATGTGGCCAGGGCGAGAGGCGAGCCAAGGAGGCCCCTAGAGGCAAAAAAGCCACGAGGTGCCTGGCCACGTGGCACACGCCGTACCCCGGACACGCCGAGCTCGCCAGACACGCCGGGCACACCTCCGGGCCCCTAGGGACGGCCTCTAGGGCAAGGAAACCACAGAGTGTCTGAAAATGCGAGCTACGCCACCAGGCGTGGGGCGACTCTGGCCCACGGGTGTAGAGGAGCCCGCACGTGCACGCCTCATGGCCCGGGTGCCCACCAGGGCAAGGGGCGAAGCAGGGCCCCTAGGGACAATGCCTAGAGCAAGCAAGCCACTGAGAGCCTGGCCACGTGGGCAACACCACCAGACGGGGCGCTGCCCACCTTCGGGCGTTAAGGAGCCCCACACGTGCATGCCTCGGCACGCATGCTCGGGCACGGCCCTGAGGGCGGAAAAGGACCGCGCTGTACAGCCCGCACTGCTAGCGCCCTAGAGAGGGGTAAATAGACCTGGGAGAAATCTAACTAATGCGGCACAACACTCATTACAAAGGACATGGCCCTGCGCGGGCACACGCCGAACACTGGGGACATCTTAACTAAACAGGGCGCCCCACACATTGAGTGTGGTGGGGAAAACATGGGCACCACTGTACCTTAGGACATGTTGAGATGAGCAGGCCGCCTCAGGGTGGACTGCTCTGAGACGTCGATGGGCCAATGACGACAACTCAAATCAATCGGGAGTCCCGACGTGCGGGCCGCCCTTGGAGGCGACGTGGGCCGGCGTGGAAGGCTATAAGTCAAAGGTGAGCAAATGGGCTTCTAAGGTACTTGTCGTCATAGTCCACATGTATCAGGATGGCGGAGGAGCGTTGTTTTGTATGTGAAGCGGCTGCAGAGGGCGGCGAAACAGAGGTCGCCGAGTAGATTGATTGATAAAGATTAAGCCACCCAAAAGGTGGCACGGGCATGAATAGCCCGTAAGTGGTGGCCCTTTTGAGCCCTAATCAGTATCAAGAGCTGATACTGGAGATCTGTGGAGGTGCGACTGCACCCTGCATGACAGGAAATGTTTCCCGTCGTCGCCGAGTATGCGGGCGCGCATTTAAGTACCCCCGCTCGGTGCACTTGCAGCTTAGACGGTTAGACGCAACTCTTACAATTACGTTTTCTTCTCACATAAATCCCACCACTTTTTGGAAAAGCAGTGGCTATAATTACACTATAGTCAATGATTAAAGTTACACTAAAACAAAAAGGAGGTAGATTACTTAGAGATACACTCAGGTACACTGAGAGATAAAGTTTATACTAGAGGACACAGACAAAGCCAGTGTACAATGGAAGAAGGAAGTATGGAATATATACAAAATAATTAGAGTAAAAAAAACAAGAAAAAAGACAATAACAAAGATAAAAAAAAATAACTTTTGAAAGGAAAGGCAGAGCTATATAGTACACTTTGGTAGTTAGATGAGACTAATTTATATTCTGGTTATTCAGCTGTTATCCCACAGTCATCAAGGAAAAGATTGTAAACTTATGTTTGTACTTTTGTGTAAAAGTACTTTTACACAAAAGACATGTACAGACAGGTGTGTGGCTTCTGACTTCGTTTTTATTTATTAATATTTTCTGATAACGGAGGAATAAGACACCGACAGCATTGGGACCTATTTATTTAATTTTTTAGTAGTAACAAAATAATTAAATTTTTTCAGACCATGTTAATGAACAGGTAACTTGTATAATTTTACAACAGCATAAATACATGTATAACTTGGCTACAATGACTTAATAACATTAATATATATGCTTATATCCGGTAACTAAATAGAACATGGTCTGAAGAACGCGGAATCCTTATTAACTATTGGTACAAGTAAGGCAAACGTTTAACATAATTTTTAAGTAGAATCGGGGCTTAAAGAGTAGCATATAGTGGCCTAACACATGACATAAATAATGTGGCAAATCCCAGACATAATGTGAAATGGTAAATTACTAGTAGCTGTAGAATACACCTATAGGACAAATTTAACAATACTCTTACAAGTGAGAGTAAGTAGCTGCGGACAGCGTAATACTTAGGGGCCGGCGCTGCACCCCCACTCGCAGAGCCAGCTGGCCGGACCCCCCCCCCCCCCCCCCCGAAGGGCGAGTGCCCGCTGGCCGCGGAATTGGTTTGGATTGATGTCCAAAGAGCTTGGGAAGGATGATGTGAGGAAAAAAGATGGGGCGATGAAATTCTTGGAAGAGGATTTGGATGTGGAGAGAGGAGGCTTGAAATTTCGGTGGCCCGTCCACCTTGGATTGGAGATGTTTTTTCCAGCAAAGCCTGTAGGTTAAGTTCTTCTTGGGCGGCAGGAGGCTAGTGGTGGGGCAGGGTGATGTCGTCCTGGTTCACTTGAGGTGGTCTGTCTGGCTTGGAGGAGGCGTCGTCCTTATTGAGGTGGTGAGAGGAAAGTTCACTGTTGCTTGTTGTTATCTTGACCACGAGGTATTCGCATGTACTTCCCAAATGACATCGGCGTTATTGGTGTTCCTGTCGGGTCTTCATCTTCTTCCAGGAAGGTCACTTGTTCCCTCTTGAAGTCGTATTTAGGGTCGACGTATTCACTCTCCAGAGCGCAGAGGTCAACATAATGTTCCACGGTCTCGTGGTGGACAAACACAGGGTAAGGAAAGCAGGTCTTGAGCTGGTTGATGATCCTGTTGCATTCTAAGGCAATGACCATTCTTGTGCTTCGATTGCTGTTGAAAGTGCCATCGTGAATGAGGTAAATCCATAGTAGGGCTTTTTCTTGCTTGATTTGCTTGGGTTTAGGTCGAAGTCTGGGGCCTCATATGTGACGGTCTCAGCCGAGGTAGATGGAAACAATGGTGATTCTAGGAACTTGGTTGGTTGGCCTGGTGTGGACGTCTGTGTAGCTGGAGCAGAAGCGTTGGGAAGCACTGGCAATAATGTAGCTTGGATATCGAAGCTTGCCGGCTGATTGGTTGTTGGGTTGGCAGTCACTGTTTATTTATTTCATCTAGTCGTACGTGGCAGTCCATGGAGACGGCGATGTGATCTCCGCAATTGAGGCACCGTTTGTTGGGTGGCCTTGACTGTAGCAGCAGTCAGAGCCGTGTTTTCTGGTGTTGATGGTACCAGGATCCTGGGTGGCGGTGTAGACACTCGTGTGGCTGACGAATATGGTTCGTTCAGCCAAGTAGCGACGGTTAGGAGTGATGATCAGGTTGTAGTTTCGTAGTGCGTCCTGGTGTTCTGGTGCAAACAGTTGCTCCAGAGCTTGCGCGCTTGAATAGAGAAGTACAGCGCCGTCAGCATCGTCACGGATGTCCAACGGGGCTGCATTCGTGATGTCGACGATTTTCCTTAGTAATTGGGGTCCGGTGTAGTATGTTTCGTCACGAAACCAGACCTTTATGCGGTAAATCATGGCTCTAATCGTTGCTGCCCAATGTTTACCCACCCGGCAGTGCTGGGTGCAGAGAGCCTGATCGAGGGTTTCGGTCGTCTGCTTTATTTTGTTTATTTTCGTGCCTTTTATCTGGCCGCTGAATGTTTTCAATGTGGAAGCGTGATGACATCTTGCCTGACATATGAGTGAAAACGTCACGCCTCCATCGTCCGACGGCCTTAATTGTTTCCTGCACATGCCCGTTAATGTGACAGCTGCATGGCCCGTCCAATCCGTAAAGAATGTGGGGCGTAGTCATTGTGAGGGCGCAGGCCGCGTAAGGGGCATCAGCGTGTAGGGCGTTGACTTCTCATCTGACGTTGGGGGCCGTGCCACCAGGAATGGCGTAGCCGAAAGTTCTGCGTCGCGGGGTATCATGGAGTTTTTCCTTGTCTGCGTCCACGTCCGTGTCCGTACACCCGTTACCTCTGCCATTAAAAAAACAGTCAGGAATTTCCAGTACTGAAAAAAGGTACAGAGTCGGGCGTACATGGCTGGTAAATGCTGCTAGGTAAGCAGCATCCTGAAAGTGACCAATGGAGCCCCGTCTGGTGCATGTGTATACAATGCGGGCGTCTTGATGTCTGCGTGTTGTGGGCGTATTACCTCGTGCATGCCTCGCGTGCTATGCCCCGCCACGCCAGGACATCCTCGTGTCGCCGTTATCGCTGTATCCCGCCCTTGCAGAGACTAGCCCAGTGAGGTTGACCCCAGGGCGGGTGAGTAGGACCTGCGTGTACCAATCCGTGCCGTCCGTCGGGAGTGTTCATCGTGCGCGATCCTATGTTCTCCGTCCATGAGGTGTTCCCCGATGGTCTGTAGTCGATGATTGATTGGTGAAGATTAAGCCACCCAAGAGGTGGCACGGGCATGAATAGCCCGTAAGTGGTGGCCCTTTCGAGCCATTACCAGTATCAAAAGATGACACTGGAGATCTGTGGAGGCGCAACTGCACTCTGCGTGACGGGAGATGTCTCCCGGACCAAGTGTGGCATATCTTCTTGATTGATTGATTGATGAAGATTAAGCCACCCAAAAGGTGGCACGGGCATAAATAGCCCGTAAGTGGTGGCCATTTTAAGCCATTACCAGTATCAAGAGCTGATACTGGAGATCTGTGGAGGTGCGAATGCACCCTGCATGACGGGAGATGTCTCCCTTGTGAGTGTGTTAAGATGAAGATGAAGCCACCCAAAAGATGGCACGGGCATAAATAGCCCGTAAGTGGTGGCCATTTTAAGCCATTACCAGTATCAGGAGCTGATACTGGAGATCTGTGGAGGTGCGAATGCACCCTGCATGACGGGAGATGTCTCCCTTGTGAATGTGTTAAGATGAAGATGAAGCCACCCAAAAGGTGGCACGGGCATGAATAGCTCGTAAGTGGTGGCCCTTTTGAGCCATCACCAGTATCAATAGATGATACTGGAGATCTGTGGAGGTGCGACTGCACCCTGCGTGATTGGAGATGTTTCCCGGACCAAATGGTGACCAGATGGAGGGTCTGTAGTCGTTCTAATGCGTGCTACGCGTGCTGTGCACCGCCACGCCGGGTCGTCCTCGTGGGCGTCGTCGTCGCTGTAGCCCGCCCTCGCGGAGGCTAGCCCCAACGCAGCTGAGTAGTTCCTCCATGCGCCCATCCGTGCAGTCCATCGAGAGTTCTTCGGGCGCAAAACCAATGTTCCCCGTCCATGTGTTGTTCCCCGATGGTCTGTAGTCGTTCTGGAAATATTACGGCAGTAAGGGTTGGCAGGGGTGAGCATGTGGCATAAGTAGGACAGTGTGATAAAGCAGTGGGGTAATTAAACGCTCCGAAACCCGAACGAACAGGGCTCCTTGCTCCAAGCTGAAGACAACGTTGTACAGACCATATACACTGACGGAACACGCAAAGTATGTTAAATAGTAATAACGTAAATAAATAAAGCACGGATGTGGCAGTTAATCACAAAATGGCAAATATCACAGTTGTGGGACCGACCTTCACCTGAAGGCCACTGTTGGCGGGTTATCTGAAAAACAACGTATGGAAGTGAAAAAGTGTGTACTTCTATTATGATTAAGGCTAGAGTAATAATACCGGATAGAGTATAGTCAACTCCACAGGTCCAATGGATGCCGTCT